TAATTCTGACCCTGTCGGGCCTATCTTTATATAAAACTTGCTATTTTGTTCCTCCTTAGAGATTTTTGGCATTAATTTTGAATTTTAAAAATATTCTTTTAGGGCTCTCCCTGGTGGTGCAACAGGTTAAAGCACCGCATTATGAAACTGTCCAAAACCACTGCAACACGAGTTCCATCCCCACCCCGGAGCTGACCCAGATGGCACAGCAGACCTCACCTGACCCGCCCACTGCTCCCCTCAGCAGTATACCTTGTCAATATGCCTGTTCTGCTCCCTACTGTCTTTGGTGAATACTCTCATCGCCCCTGCACCTCTTCTGGCCTGTGCCCCAGTTATGTATGCATAAATAAATAAATCTTTTTTAAAAAATTATTTTATCTTGAGGGTTGTTTTTGGACATTCCTTCAAATTCTGTGCCTATGGCAAATGCCTCACTGACCTCACCCTAGTCCAGGCCCTAAAGAGAAACACACATTAACTAGCTCTACTGATAAAGGGGTCAGGTGGGGGTGGGGGGCGGGTAACAAGGCTCATCCTGCACGGGGGAATGTAGACACTAAACACACAGGGAGTTTATCTCTTAACTTTCACTTGTACAGCACAGGCCTGGCTAATGGCACTAAAGTTGGGGACCACTCCAATCTTGATGACAGCTACCCTCTTTGTTTTACAAAGTTATTGTAGCTTGACTAATCCAGCTAGTCATTTCCCATTCTGATATTTGGACTTAGAAAAAAAGTCAAGGTGAGAACTGTAGACAAAACATAGGTAAAAAATAAGATGAAACCTGCAGACAAATATGAATAGTCTGATCTAAGCAATCGACTCACAGATGAATCCCTAACAGTTCTAGCTAAATACGTTTGGAGAACTTCTATGTTAATGTAAACTTTAAAGCACCTCAAGGGCCTCCCTGGTGGAGCAGGGGTTAAAGGCTCAGTGTTATCAAGCTATTGTAAGCCACTGCTGTGGCCTGAGTTCGAACCAGGCCCAGAGAACCAACCCACATGGCACAGAACTCGCCTGTCTCACCCGCTGCTCCCTTCAGCAGTGTATTTCAGTGGGTCTACCTGTTCTGCTCCCCACTCTGTCTCTGGAGAATCTTCTCACCACCAACCCACTCCCCCACACCTCTGGCTTATACCCCAGTTCTTATATACATAAATAAAAATAAATCTTTCAAATAATGAAGTATACATCAAAATGGTGAAAGGAATTTCCCCCCACAAGATTGAAACATTGTGAGGAGCCTGGAAATGTTAAGCTTTTCTCTGGTTTCACTCTTCTCTCTTTACCCATCAAGGACCAGGGTTGCAGAATGCATTGCTTTTCTTCCAAAGCTGTTCTGTAATTTATATTTTAAATCCTCCAACTCAAGTGCTCATTCTCTTGCTCTTCAGAAGCACATAGGCAGAGAGAAACATGACTAATCAAGCTCAATGCATCTCTGGGCTTCAACCCCTTGTCCTGACAACAGTTTTCTTCAGATCTTTGATATCTTTTAACCTACCAACACTACTGCTCAACTACAACTTTCTTTCTACTCATGGCCTCCACAGAGCAGTCAGTATGCTGATTTTCCTAACTCTTATTAGCTTCTAGCCCCAACATGTCTTATATATTGTGAAGTGGCCCACACGGAGAGCAAAACAGGTGAAACATAAAGACAGCACCATAAGATGACTTGGGTCACTACACAGAGGCCCAATGTGATTCAATCTCTGCCTTCATTGTCTCAATGGCAGCAGGCTGGGCACAAGGAAAAAGCACTGTATTGGGGGAGGGGAGTGAAGGGAAGGAATTTGAGCTCTGACAAGTCCCAGACTCTGAATATGCATCCACAGCTCTAGCCCACAGCTGCTGGCAGAGCAAAACACCTCCCCAATCCATTTCACAGGGTGAGGCAAATCACCTTTGAAAACTGTTAAATGCTGTACAAATTCAAACCACAAATGACAATGCATGGTCTGGTTCATGAGAGTGCTGAAAAGTTGCACAAGTGGGCTAAGTACGGCTTTTGCATGCATTTACAGTGCATCTTGACCCCAAAAATAAGAAGTGAGGGAATACCAATCCACAAAACAGGAGAAAAAATAACGTATAAAGAACACACTGTCAAACACACTAGGTACAGCTCTTCCAACAAGCATACTCACAACCACCTGCTTTTTTAATGCATCCTAACACTTAGGAGGTATCAAAATGAGAAGTCTCCACCTCTCTGTATAGAGATAGAGCTTACCTTGTACCAGGAGAGAGATGGGAGAAGCAGAGATCTAAGACAGACTCAAAGGAAATAAAAGTCTTAATGCTACAATTAAAGATAGAAGAATCCATTACATTCCCTATTCCATGGGCTTTTTAGTAACCCGGCACAAATGGAAACAGGGAGAGTAGGGGGAGGTTTATCGGAAGCACGACACAACACAAATGCCAACTGCAGGCACCAAACCAAGAAAGGAAACCACAATTACACCATTCTTGATTTGGATGCACTTCCAGACAGAAAAGTCAGTGGTGAGATTTGACAGTGAAATCTCTAAAACCCATTCCTTCAACAAACCTATTGAAAGGTGGAAAGGGAGAGTCGGTCATCACACTGGAGACAAATTTAACATCAGAGCCCTCTCTGAGGAAAGTTTCCCCATCACTGCATTTTTTCAGTAACAAAGATGTTGTCAGAAATGACAATTTTTTTGTGTCCCCTGATGATGCCTTCCTAGCATTTGGTTATAAGCCATAAAGAAGGACTAATTTCAGCCTGTCAGGAGTCTTGCTAATGCCCAGTTTCCCCCTAGAGAGAATTCCTGTCAAATCTAATGAGAGCTCCGAAGGCCCTCTCTACAATATAATGAGCACTTAGGCCACGCTGGTGATCAGGCGGCAAAAAGCATCAATTTGAGCCTGGCTACACCCTGGGGGCCAGACGTCACCAGTTTTAATAAGAATTATGATTACTAGCTGCACCAAATGCCTCCTCAGAACTTATTATTAATGTGTGACATTCAAAAGGATGTTTTTCAAATGTAAGGCCACTTTCTCCTGAATTATAGCACTGCTTTGCACACCACTCTAGTTAAGGGGCTGTCAGCACTTACAATATAAACTAAATCTCAGGGATCTTAAATACCCTACTATGAAGAACATGACATCTCTCGGCTTTTCACCTTTTTCATATTATTGAGCCAATTATACACAGCATTTTATTAATGCATATAGACCCACAGATGGACAGTGTACACCCACAAATGCTGACGGAGCACAGAAATTCATTATAAGACTATTTTCCCACCATGAGACCTCCTGGCTTTTTCTGCCCCGTCTTCCTCCTTCCTGCCACTTATCTTAAAAGGACCCCAGAAGAATGATATGCCTTCTTTAGTTCCCCAGTAAATTCAACACCAGCATACAACATAACACAGGAGGCATTCCCTTGTAAAAGACGAGGGGAAGTTACTAAATCCTTAGTGTTTACAAGTCAAAGAGAAAACTCAAGTCTCCTCTTCTTCTGCCAGAACATTTGATAGCAAAAACTGTGGTGTGAGAATGACTATAAAAATGGTGGCAGATTAGAACTTCTAGACCAACTTGCATAAGTCATTTAAATGACCGAGGTCTTTTAGTCCAATGACTAAGCTGCAATTGCCTCAATCAGGCAACAGTCATCTAAACACATAAAAACAAAGATACAAACCCCATGTAAATCAGAATACCAACTTTGCAAATCAGAATTAAAAAATCAGCTTTTCTAAAGGTCCAATTATATTAACGAAAGGCCTTGAACTTAACTATCCTTCCAAACACATATCTAAGAACAGATCTAGTGTACACGATGACAACTTAACATTATGAAATCTATGATGAATTAAAAATCAAAGACTGAAGAGTTACAAAAGCAGAATTCAACTCTGAAACACACTTGCTAATGAAAAGTCTTTGAATATAAGGAAGATCTGAAGGCTGAACTAATCAATTTCTCCACTGTGCCCCAGCCGGTCAGCCATGCTCTTTAATTTAATGAAACAAGAGTTTGAGATGAAATAGCACATATACATCAAGTAAGAATTGTATTGTTGCACTTTGAAATGTGTCCAACTGTGCAACTTCATCTGATGATAATTTTTTAAGAGGCAATCGATTTCTAAAAGACTTATTGTACCAGCGTCTTGATGAAAAAGTGAATGTCAGCATATCTCCAGAATACTTACACCCTGCCATTAATGCTTTCTTTGGCAGACAATGACTACTCAATCGAGGGTCCTCTGGGCTGAGCAATCATTTAGCTTTTCTTCTCTTATGAGGTCCTTAGTGCCTTGTTCCAGCTCAATACTCTTTTTATACACCATTATAGTAGCCATAAGTGTGAATTTTATGGGAACTTGCAAACTCATAGTCATAGCAAGAGCTTTTCCAGTTACTAATCTTTTCATGCTTTTAAAACTACTAGGACTGAAGCAACTCCCAACATATGCTGGCCATAAAAAGATGTTTTTCACTTGCAAACCTGTATCAACTGAAATTTTTTTAAAAAGATGTTGGCTAATAAGCCACTAATCCTGAGTGTGGCTTTATGGAGTCCCAAGGCACAAAGAAAACTCCACAGTTAGTCATATACCTTGCTTAACCTTATTAAAGAAACTCCTCAATATTCTTCTTTCTCCCACAGTTCCACACTTTTTTCCAAACCAACACAAAAGCATAGCTATTTTGAACTACAGAGCTCTGCAGGATCCCCAGATCTTTCAAGTGGGGAATAAATCTACCCAAGAGGAAAAGTCAACTCAGGGTCTCGATTCCTGTCTGTCAACTGGCTAGTTGGCATTTCCACAGTACCTCTCCTCTAGTCATTTAAACAATCCCTGCTGCCATCAATTCCCTGGAAGGGAAACCAATGCAGAAAAATGGCATACTAACCCCCCCACTACTGAGAACAAAGTCATTATCATAAAGCAGGACTGACTTCTCATTTCACACCTTGAGATTTAACTGAAGCTTACCTGTTTATGCATTTCTATGTTTAATCCATATGACATTTCATAATACTGAAAAAAAAAATCAAGCATTTCATTAATTCATCTTACATAATGCTAAATACACATATCTGCTAATATATGAAAAGGGAAAAAGTCTCAACTTTGATATGATACCTACCATCACATAGTGCCTCTGCATTTCTGTCTTTTCACTTGCCAGTTTCTCACATTCCAATTTAAGGCTAGAAAAACAAAACAGGCAGCTTAATGTAAACATTATGTCACTTGTTTTAACATCTGCCTCACATATTTGCACTTCAAGGAAAAACAGACCAATTTAGAAAAGCCACATACTGTCTAGATAAGGACCCAAAAGATGTCCTTGTCTTTCGTAGGGGAAAAGAAAGCCAGTACCAAGAATCCATTCAGCTACTATGCCTACCCTTCCTGATGTCTACCTGCTCAGATGCCATGAAGGAAAAATACGTGGAAACCTCTGATCTATCAAAAGACTGATTTCTCTTGTTCACTCCCACTTCCCTGCAACCAAGTTTGTGTCCCTGAACTCCACCAAAATCTGGCCCTTGCACAATCTTCAGCCTAAGGCATAGGCTGTGCCACCTTTGCCAACTCAAACAGTTTCTAGTTTTGAAAAATGTACCTATAAAGTTACTTCTACAATTGTTGGTCCCTTTTAAAAACTTTGGTTTTTAAATCCCTGCCAAAATATGTCAAGTAGCTACTGCAATAAAGTGGGTTGAAGTCCTGTCTGCTTAGTAAACACAGTGTGGGCAGGTATGCTTCAAGTTCTAGAGATTTTTATCTTCAAGTAGACAAAAGGTCAGTAATTCACACCCAAACAACTGTGTTTTTTCCTAAGCATGACAAAGAGAAAAACTACCAGATTTCTGTTATTCTTTAGCTCTAGTCACCTGACTTCAAGGCAAATCCATTATGGCAGGTGCTTTACACATATTTTTCACTTATAAATCTTATGAAGCAAGTCTATTAGATGAAGAAACTGAGGCTGAGATGGATGAGACATAATCCCCCGGCTACCCAAATTATCCCAGAATGACCAAAGCTCTCCCATATGCACTACCCACCCCCACTCCCCCTTAACCACCAACCACTGGCACAGCTAAAAGCTTCTAGCCTTCCATAATGGACTTTGCCTCAGACAACCCAAGTCTAGAATGGCAAAGAGCTATTTCATCACTGGCTTTGCCCCCCAGAAGCCATTCTGGGGGAGGGGGGGGCATCGATGGACTTAAGGTTTCAACTCAGCCTGTTGCAAAATAAATAAAGTGCAAATATTGACGGTTCCCATGCATCAATCAAATACATGAAGAGACTCCCTGTAACAGCAGCAACCGGGCAAAAGGGAAACAATGGGAGGAGGAGGAGACAAGAGAAGAGGCAGCCCGAGAAGAGCCAGGAAAGGGGGTACGGTGAATGACAGGTCTTAACTGTGACTCCACACGCCACCGCCTGGACGCTACTACTAAGTACAGCCGTCACCACCGGGCTGGGTGACAAGGGGCATGGGGATGCCAGGGACACCGACCACTGGTCACGCACCTGTGATACTGCGCCTGCAGGAACTGGAATTCCTCTTTAATCCGGTCCAGGGACTCCGGGATAGTAAACTTGAAGGGTTGGCCTGCAGCCTGGTGCGGCGTCTGGGGGCGACCAGAGAGAAAGGCCGAGGGACCGGGATGCGGGAGGATGGATAAGGCGGAATAACGAGTACGAAGTGGGTGGGGCAAAAACAAAAAACAAAAGTTAGAAGAGGTGGAGAGCCCAGCAGCCAAGGTTGAGTTTATACTTCACTTCGAGAAGGGGTAAAGTGAACCCTCCCCGGCCTCCAGCTTCTAAAGAGGTTCAAAACCTCTGCCTCCAGGTTGAGTCGTGGCAAGTGTGCCAGGGACACCCAGCTAGACCAGTGGGGACTTCCCGTGACCGGGAGAACCACGCCAGACCAACATCTCCGTCGTTACCCCCTTCCCCCACTGGGATGATAATAACCCCGGGACCACGTAGGAAAAACAATTCGCTAACACTCCCAGTTCCCAGAGTCGCCGTGGCCACCGCCAGGCGCCGGAACGGGGGTCGCATTGACATGTAAATAGGCCAGACTAGAAACAAAGGGGGGGGGCCGCCAGCCTCAGGAAAGGGGGAGGATGTGGCTGCAGGAGAGAAACCCCAACCTCCCCAGGCGCCCCCGTCCGTCCAGTCTAGACGTCAAACAGGAGGCGGCCAGGAGACAAGGGGAAAATTGAGAGTTCCAGCCCACCCCCCACGGAGGGGAGGAGGGGCAGGGGGCAGGGCTCTCCCCCGCCCAGCATCCTCGGAGACCAAGGTTCGCCCGAGCTTAGAGGCTCCCGTCTCCTTAGGGCCGGGAAGAGCGCATCCTCCTCCTCGTCCTCCTCCTCCTCCTCACCACCACCACCATCACCACCACCATCCAGTCGCTACTCACCGGGTGCCGACTCTGCGGGAACATCGCTCTGGCGGCGGCCGCGGCTCTGTTCCCGGGGAACTCAATTCTCCGCTCAATTTCCAACTTTAATCCCGCCGAGAAAAATTAAGCCGGGATGCCAAGCAAAAGACCAGAGCACTGGGGGCGCGCTGGCCACGCACGCAGGCGCGCTGGGCAAGGCGCACCGGCCACTGGGCGCCGGGTGGCTCCTGGTCCCGCCGGTGCGGGCTCCCGCGATCAGGGCCACATTACGGGCACCCTGGGCCCGGCTGCACCCAGAAACTGCGCGGCGTCGCCGGCGTCCACAAACAGGGCTCGGGGGCTGCACTCCTATCCGAGGGTCTCGGCCTCCCGGGAGGGGAGGTGGGGGCGCGGTGATTCCGGCCGCGCTCCCCGTGGAGATCCGCGTGCGCGGCACCCGTCCAGGGCAAACAAATCCAGGCGGGCTGCTTTCCTCCGCTCTTCTCCCGGTCCGCCTCCTCGCCGGGATTTCCCCGCGGCGCCCCAGGCGGGCGAGGGGCAGGTGGCGCGACGCCCCCACCTAAACCCACACTAACAAACTGGCGACGTTCGGGGTCGACCCCCCCAGGGTCGGGGCTGAGCCTTCCGTCGACAAATCGCTGGCGCCTGGAGGTGGCGAGGTGCGAGGTCCCGGCCTCGCTGAAAGCTCAGTGCCGGGCGCTGCGCAGCGTCAATCCAGACTGGAGCGCGGGATGACGACGAGGCGAGGAAAAGTGCGGAGGGCGCGCCGGGAGGCGGCTCGGCACGCCCCGGGCGACAGGCACTCGGTGTTCTCCGCGGTTGCACAAACCCTCCGAGCTGCACTGGACTACTCCGCGGAGGGCAGCCCCACCGCCGCTCGCTGCTCCGCGAGCCCGGGGCGCATCCGGGAGACGAGCCCCGGGAGACCAGCCCCGCGCGCACTCGCCCCGCACAACCGGTCCGGCAGCTCCGGACCCTTCCTCCAAGCCCCTTCCGCGCTCCTCTTGCTTTCCTCCCCTCCGTCTACCGCTCTGCAAAGGGCGCTCCAGCCCGCAGCAAAGTTCTGTCACGACCCCGGAGACGACATCCACGAGATGCTGGAGAAGGACTCCACTGCGCCGATCGGCCTCCCGCCTCCGCGGGCAAACTCCGCGGACCAGTCCGGGGGCGTCGCTGCGCGCCGACGGAGGTTCGCACAGGGGACGCCGGTCCCGCCCGGCCGGGTGAGGGTGGGGGTGGTGCAGTCGGCAGCCTAGAAGACAGGGACTCTGGGTACCCGCCGCTGCCGCCGCTGCTCCTACAGCCGCCGCCGCCGCCGCCGCCGCCGCCCGCGCCTCTCGCGCCGGTTACATTAACACGCGGTTTCACACTCCGGAGCTCACCAGCGCCGGCCCCGCCCAGCCCCGCGCGGGCGGAGGGCGCGAGTGCGGAACCGGCGGGGGACGCGGGCCTGGCGGGAGGGAGGGGCAGAGAGGAGGCTGGCGGCAGCCAATCGCGGACGCCACGCCCAACGTGGGGCTCTGACGCCACGCCTCCCCGGGACCAATGGCCGCGCGATACAGGACGGGTTGCCCCTCCCCTCCTCGGTCGCCTCCCACCTCTCTCGCTTCCATCTCCGCCATCTCCCCTGTCTCCCCTCCTTCCCTCCTTCCCCCTCCTTCGCCAGCCGCGTCCTCGCGGGCTCGGGGAGGAACCGTTCCAGGAGCAGCCCCGGGACGCCGAAACCAACCAATGGGCAGCGGCGAGACGCGGAGATTGGCACTGTGGCTGGGAAGGTCGGTGGGAAGGAGAGCAGCGGGGCCGGGCTGTCAATCAAAGTAACGTGGGGCCGGCGAGTACGCGCGCGGGAGCGCGCCAGCGGGAGGAATCGGCTAGCTTGCAGCGGCGGAAGCGACGAACTCGAGTTTGTAGAAATCCCGGCCACTTGTTCACTTTTCCCTTTAATTTAATGAAACTCCTCCAATCTCAATGAAAGTAACTCCTAGACTAACGCGTACTTTCTTAAAGGGATGAAGGAGGGAAGGGGAGACTTTTTGGCAGTTGGAGCCAAACGCGTCTTTCTTTGTGGCCCCTTGTTGGATGCTAGCTACTCTTTTGAAAGTAAGGTTACATTCAAAATTTTCTCAGAGGTTTGTTTTTCTTTGAGCTGCCTTTTCGCAGCTGCAGGAAGAGTGCTCTGTGCACTTGGTGGGAAATGCATACATGGACATCGTTTGCCTGGCTTAGGTAACAACTTCCCAAGACTAGACTACCTCCGCACCCAAGATGGTAAATTTTGGGTTTTACTAGTCAGTTTCAAACCACTTTGGTAGAAGATCGGCCGCCTACGTTTGGCGGGAAGGATACCCAAGGAACTGCCCCCACCACGAAATCTCGGGTGCCTATCTTCTAAGTCCCCACTTTGCTGTATGAACGTTTCGGGGGCTGCTGAGAATTGTAGGGTCCTCTGAGCAACAGGATCGCGAGTCTGTTCCAATTCCTGGAAACAAAGGGAGACATTGGGATTAACCAGCGTTGAGACCTGAAAAACCTGCCCTGCCCACCCCAACCCCACGGTTGTTAGTGATACCTCTGGGACTGAGCTAGATGGGAAGCTTTGGGTGAAAGACGTGGCCGAATTCTTATGAGTTGAGAATTGACTTAAAAGGGATTCTGACATTTTCAAATAAACGGAACATACTGTGTAAGTCTCCAGTTTTTTGCTATTTCTCAAAATACACAGCAGAAAACCTTCAGTATCGTGCATTGATACTTTTTGTTTAAAAAATAATAATAATAAAGCAGTTTAGTTGAGCTATTTCCACATGACTGGAGAGTGAATAATCTGTTTTAGCCAAAGAGTGAAGGAATGCATTCACCAGTGTCTCCTGAGAAAGACATATCTTTGACAGGCATTCATATGCTGGAACCTACTTAACAAGTTTTTGGTATTAATAACCCCCGTGTTTCCATTATTTTACTTTCAAGAGACTTACAGTAAAGCATTTATTTAAACAGAAATGCATTTTATCTGAAGTTTTGCTTTTACAGAGATCTTTTTCCTGAAATATGAATAGAATCATTTTAGATAATACATTCCACTGTTGGAGTTGTTTTTAAATATGTATGATATTGATTTGTCTATAATTGCATCAATCCCAAATATCAATTATAAATGAAAAATTAAAGGAGCGATTTTAGCCAGTCTGCACAAGGCCATAGTAAATTCTTAAACAAGCTGGCATTACAGCTTTGCAGTGTTCTTTCTCATTAAGTGGGGTTGGGGAGAGGTTGTAGTATTAATTTTGCTAGTGTGGAGAATAAAAAGAGAGTAGCACAGTGCCTTTTTCCTTGGTTAAATATGGTGACAAGAACAGGCTTGCTTCACTTACAGGGCTTTTTGAAGTCATGATCCATAGACAACTAAGCTTTGTCTTTTGGCAACCTGTGGTGCTCAACTCTTCATCCAGTGTCCCGCAACTGATTTCAGTCTGTGGTCAGTTCATCCCATAATCAACTCCAGGACTGTATTAGAAAGTGCCTCAGATGCTACGCCTGTGCATGCTGGGTCATCTGGGGCAAATGAGCCTTCTCCCTGGCCTCCCCAGACTTTATTTTGATTTACTGGCATATGCTGGCCATTAAGCTTAAACAGAAATTAAAATGATGCATTTTGAGACAGAAGCAAAGTGTCACTCTCTTTTTTTTCCCTTCTTCATCCTCTTGAAAACCAGTGTCTTTGCTTATTTTTAACTTTTATTGAAGCAACATTGGTGTGTATGGTTATGGAGTACAGCATTACCTTTATAACATCAGGAGTACAGCATTATAATGTGGCATCAAACATCTTGTCTTTAAAATTTCTCCCAACAAAGCTGTATACAGCGCACAAGTCTGCTTACCAGTTTCCCATTTTGCCATGATTCAAAATTGAAAGTTCTCTAAAGTGCTTCCTTAACATTGGAGTTTGAAACATGGGCCTTCTGACTTCCTTATAATGTAGTATGTCTGGAAGGAAAAAAAAAGATTTTAAAATTGGAAGAACTTTAATTATGTGCAATAAGGTGTCCAGTTTTCTGTGCTCTTTCTCCTACAGCACATCCTTGAGAGGGGGGCAGGCTGGGCCCTTTTTCAAGGTCATAGTTTCTCTGTGATTGTCATGCTGTAATAATTATACTACACAAAACTCTCATCAAACTGCATTACAAATGATGGTGTTTAAACAATCAAGTAGCTTTAATCTTATGTTTTAAATAAATAATATATGCACAGATTGCCTACAGCCTATTTAAAAGAAAATAGTCCTCATGAAATCTATAATTTTGGCTTCTATTTAGAATCTGTTAACCATACTCTTCTTTACCTTTAACATATTCATATGTTGATGATGTTTTTACATGAAATAATATTAGGTGCTCTGCTTCCAAAGGAAATTGTCTCTGGAAAAAAAGTTCCATTTTTATCCTCAGCAAAAGAAACAAGAAGATTGCCAGATTGCTTGTTTTTTCATTGATGCATATATGGATATATTTCCATTCATCCGTTGCTGATTATCAAGTGTTCAGCTCACCAACAGCATAAATAATTGCAAACACTGGTTTTTGTATATAGTTTAGGTACAAGGCACAATAAGGCATGGATACTGGTCATAGAAGTTATGCCTCTTTTAAGTCTATTACTTTTTCATTTGAAATAAATAATGCCAACTTTTAAAAGAGCACTTTTGTCATTTTCACTTTCTTTTAGTTGAATGTTATTGCTTATACATTAACTCATTTTAACTTAAGAAACTTAAACCTGTGGATGTCAAGTCCAGAAAAAAAATTTTTTCCAGTATTGCTTTATAATCTTTCTCCCCCACCTTTTTGCAAGAAAAAAGGGCAGGATAAGTTGGGGGTGAAGGAGAAGGGGTGGGAAAATAGAGAAGTTTAAAAAAAATCAGTAGCAGATCCATGCAGCAGTAAAACCTCAAATAAAATTCCATCCAAAGAATCTCTTGCGGTTTCACACAATATGGTAAAATTAGAGATTGCAGGAAACCAACTAAATTAAACTGGGAGCATTTGAAGAGAAACGAGTAGATTTTATGAAAATGACACATTGACTGACCAGTATGCTTTTTTATCAACAATTTCTTTGTTAAGATGCAGATCAAAAGAACCTGCATATGTTTTCATTTTGTTCTAACTAGAAAATTACATCCAGATGTTTAATAGGCATTTGGTTGGTTTTTCAGCATTGATTAGATATGTTGGTTCTGTTTGCTTACAAGTGTAGCCGGATCATTAGCTAATGCAAAGAAATGTTGCTGTGAGTTGCTAATTAGGGTTTTTGGAAACCCTCCATGCTCAAGAACAATTTGTACGGTGGCCAGAAGAACTTGTGGGACTTGGAGAAGTTGTTTTCCCTTCTCTGTCAGGGTGGGAAGCAGACAGCTCCAGTTCCCTAATCTCCCTATGCCTAGGGGGATTGCAATGCTCTCCCTGAGGATTAGAGTGCAAATAAAT